AAGGATGTTAAACAACATTTGCTTCCTGTTCCAGAGAGGCCCAGGAGAAGAGGGTGCAGGGTGCTTCAGAGTCCTTTCTGTCTGGAAATGGGACTCTGAGGTGGGGTCGTTGCCTGGGTGACCCAATTGCAGCACAAGCCTCCAGCCTCCCTTGATTTGGCTACTAGAGAAAAGCAAATTCTGCTTGTGGTTATCATGATGGAGCCCCAAACAACACGTCACTACAGGGAGAAGAGGTGTCCTCTGTACTTTGGCTCTGGTGAGGGGTGGGGTAAGCGTAGGACTGACTGTCCTGAAGGCCCAGGGCAACTTCTGGGGCATTGGGATGTTCTGGGTTCTGGGTTTCCCTGCAGTGCCCCCACCTGATGCTCACCTCATCCCTTCCTGCAGCAACCCAGTCCTCTGCCTGGCTGGCCCCCTCCTCCCCAGTGCAGGGGCAGGCACTGCTCCTCCCTCGACTGTCCTCCCCATTGCACGGAGGCTTGTACCTGGCAGTGGGTTAAGTAAAACCTGATTCCACTAAGACATTTTCAAGCCAGGCACCAGGTAATTGTGTGGACTGAAGAGTCTCATGTGCCGTGCTTCAGTCCTGCTCTCCAGGGTCGTGCTAGCATTTGGAGCCTTAATCCTGGAGGGGCTGCCCCTTCCAGGGCTAGCTAATTCTTAGAGATAGCAAACAACTCCCCTTCCAGTGCACCTTCGAGACACAAACCAACCAACCCAGAGCCCACAGCTATCTCCTTTATCAAATTCTCACTCACCAAGCCAGTATTTTCCCTGCCCTAAATTACCCAGAGTCAGGTGCCAGTCAACAAAGGATCACCCCTGTAGCCCAGAGCGCACCAAAATTATTCAAACCATCCAATCCTAAACTTACTCAGGACACCCACCTCTCCTCACCCATTCCTTCCGGAGAAACTCCCAAGAAAGGCTCTGGGTCATACTCTGCCCTCTCCCCCTTTGCTCCTCCTGACTCCCTCGTCCTTCCACGTCGCCCAGTGGGCCCTGCCTTGTGCCCTCATGACAGTTGCCTTGAGACTTGTGTCTGCAGATGGTGACAGCCCTGTGCAGGAGCTCTGTCTGCTCCAGCTTCTTGGCAGCACCATCGCTTGGGGCTGTCTACTAGGATCTGTTGACTAAAATGTTCTAGGAAACGCAGAATCTCCTTGAAAGTGCTGTTTAGTTGGGATCTTTTCCTGGAAACATTTACAGCTTGGAACTGTTCTTTTCGGCCAAATCTGAGGATGGAGTCACCCCAAAAGCAGCAACAGGGGAGTTCCCACAAGGGGCTGGCCCAAATAGTCCCAAGATGGAAGTCCAAAGAGCCATGAGATGCCAGTGCGATCAATCCAAAGCATTTATTTGGGGAACTTACATATGGGCTTCAGCTTTCTCAGGACAAACAGTGAGAGGAGATGTTCTACCTAGGCACATCTGCAACAAGGGTGTAGGGCTATGGTGTTTACATAAGGGTTTAAAGGATTTGGCTCAGGGTGGGGGCCAGTTTCTATGTGTTTAGCATCAGGGTTAACCTCTCAGTGTTTGCAAGCAACAACCTAAACAACTTTATCAGTGCCTGGGAATGTTGAACACCCTGGATTGGGTTCAAACCTGCAGGGGAAAACATACATCTGAATGGGTCACAAAGTGGTCAGGTTACTCTGTATTTCTCAGTCAGGACAGAAAGAGACTGGGAGACCCTATGAAACCCAATCCCAGACTGGGACTAGCTGGGAAGCAATCCAGGCTGGCCCAGAGAAGGGGTACTGTGACCAAATGAGGGACTGAGCAGGTGCCTCACTGTGAAGGGTCTGTTCACTCAGTGGCCCTAGGCTCAGTGAGGCAGTGGATGCAGTGGATGGGGGAAGCCCCCTCCCCCTAGACAGGACTCTCAGGGCCTCTGGACAGTGGGCAGGTGCCCACCAGGTGGATGTTCTGGACCAGGCTCTCTGTAGACTCAGGTGTCAGCTGCCCTGCTCCCTGTGTTATCCTGGGTGTGCCATCCTCACCTGGAGCGGGCCAGGATGTGGTGCACACAGGATTGCCAGGTTCCTACCAGCTCTGGAGCGTGCAATGTGAGGTTCCTCTACCAGGAAGGTGGGTGGCACCGGTGTGCCCAGCATTCCTGAGCTTCTTCCTGGATGTACATGGTTGAGTATTAGGATGTGTCGGGGCCTAGAGGGTGACTGGGGAAGTGAGACCTCCTATATTTGTTTTCCACCTAGGACTCCGTGCTGGGGATAGGGGGAGCTGACTGAGCCCAATTACTTCACTATGGCTCTGTCAGGGCCTTCAGGGTTTGGTCAGGTGTCAGTCCAGCTTTAAGCCCTTCCTGCTGCCCCGCTGTCCACCGGCTCTTAGCTGTAATGACGGTAGCACAGGGAGGTCTAGGCAGCACCCTAACAGAGGCCGCAGGGAGCTGGGGCCGCCCCAGGGAGCCGTAGTGGCCAAGGGGGAGGCACGTTCTGCCAGAGCAAGAGAGGACCCGCCTCTCTCCGGGCTCAGGCTGCTGCAGCATCCTAGAAATCGGGCTGGGGTCGGGGTTGGGGAGCAGCCCGGGAGGAGGCGAGCCCCCCACAGGCAGGGCAGAGTGTGGATCCGGGGGCGCCGTGGAGAACACCCAGCACAGATGGCCCAGGGGTTCAAGTGAAGCTGGGAGGGGTCAGCGTGCAGCAAGGAGACGCTGGGCCTGACCTGGGTCACAGTCGAGAGAGCAAGGGCGCTCCCCTCCACCTCGGGCTCGCGCCCCGCCTGGTTTTTCCTCAGGTTCCGGGCGCGTCCCGGTGCCCGCAGCTGCTGTGCACCGGAGTCCAACCTCCTGCTGCCCCCAGCCCGCGCCGTCCCTCGACGGCCTCGAGCTTGCCACTGTCCACGCCCTCCGCCGGGCCGGGGCCTGGTACGTGCCCCACAGGTACTTTCTGCTGTGGAAACGCTGATGGACTGTGCCGGGCAGGATCTAGGGGCAGGGCCAGTGTTGGGATCTGGCCTCAGAGACTGGTGACCGAACACCCACGATCGCCGCCTCGCACCCGCCCGCGGGGCCCGCACCTGGCGCGCCGCGCGACACACGGGCCCGCCCCCAGATCCGGGCCCCGCCTTCCTCGATCTCTGTCCTCTCGCTCGGGCTCCCGGCCCCGCCGCTTCCCCAGAGCAGGGAGGCGGGGCTGGGAACACCACAGAGGTGGCCGGGCCTCCGAGCCGTCCAGAACGGCCGGAAGTCAGCGGGGAGAAGCGGGCGCGGGCGTCCGAAACTCGTTTCCGGCGGCATCGCGCGTTTACTAGTCTCCGGCTGTCCTCAGGGAGGGTGAGTCGGCGCGGCGGGCGCGGACTCTGGTGGTTCTGGGGCGGAGTGGCCCGCGGCAGGGCCCGGTGTACCCCCGCATTCGGCGCTGTAGTCCCCGGGCCTGTCCTCGGGGAGGCGCGGATGGCGCGGGCGGCTTGGCGAGGCTGTGAGCGCCTGGCGGGGGAGGTGGTCGAGCCGCGGGCGCCCTGGCCAGCGTCGGCGTGAGGCAGGAGTCGTTTGGCCGAGTCCCGCAGTTCCTTGCAGGCTCGGCCGCGTGGCAGCCTCGCCGCCCGCGAGTTCCGATGTCAGAGGCCTGCGTAAGGCGAGCTCTAGTTGGGGCCTTCACTCCAGGCCCAGGCCTGCTGCTGGGGGCTCCTTTATCTCCTTGCATAATCATCTCCTTCTAGGGCCCTCCTTTTTTCCCTCACATACCGCCCTTGGGAGGCCTAGAAATAGAGACAGTGGCAAAAAGGGCAGTGCCTTGGGTGGGGTAGGCTGTTTGTCTTCTCTGAATTCTGGATGACACTCAGGGCCTGCCCTCCTCTACAGGGAACCCAGCAATCGGCACTGGCAGCTGTATCCTCTCCAGGCACCTGGTGGGGGACCCTTCTCCAGTGGTCACTGCTGCTTGAGTCAGCCTCTGCCGGTGGCCTGTGGCTTCCACTCACAAACCACTTTCTGGGCCAGGTGCTTCCCTAGGAAGCCCACTTCTTCCCACTGTGACCTCCCAGTGGATGTTTGGGGTCATTGGTTCGATTGAGGTACATCAACTTACATCCTTGGGTTGGTGCCATCCTGGTGACAGAGGTGAGCTGTGGTTGGAGACTGGAGTTTATATACTTGAGATCAGGGGTTCCTTCATCCACTCCTGTCTTCCCTACAGTCCATCATTCTGATGCCTGTCTGCTCCAACCTCCAGTCACTCCCTGCCTTCCTTTGCTGCCTTTGGTCCACCTGCACTGGTTCATTCAACCCCATTCCTTTCTGCCTCGGGCACTTTTGGCATTTTGTTCCTGCTGCCTGGAGTGTTCTCCCCACCTCCATCACCTTGATCTAGGTCCCTGGGGAAGGGACCCATTAAGTCAATTTTCTAGTTGAAATGCTTTCATAGCGTTCTTCAGCACTATCATGGTTGTAATTTTGTGCTTATTTGTGTGGTTATTTAATTCTTTCCTCTACTAGACTGCTCCATGAAGGGAGGGTCCTTATGTGTTAACTGCCACATCTCATTACTTAATGCCTGGCATGTGGAAGCCACTCCTTAAGTGTTTATGGAGTGATTCACACGTGCCACACAAGCATGCTGAAAGAAGAACGAGGCTTCAGAGCACCTCGTTCACTCAAGTGCCATGGCTGCTTCAGCCCACCCCTGTGTCTCTGCTAGAGAATGTCTGGGTTGGAGGTAAAGTAACAGGGAACACAATACTGCCCCCTGTTAGCCTGGAAGTGAGGGGGCTTCTAGCACCCTGACCTCTGATCTTTTCATAATTGCCAACAGGTCTCTCAGCCAGGACGTGCGGATGCCCACCCGCCAAGCCTCATGGTAGGAAGTCACTGCCTCCTTTCCCTCACTTGTCCTGTGAAGCCTCCACCTCCTACTCTGTGCATCTACCCTGCCTGTTGGTCCTGGGCCTAGACCTTGCCTTGGCCCTTGCTGTGGCCCTCGACAGGCTCAGGCAGGGCCCTTTGCTCCCATCCTGAAGGTAGCAAGCAAACCCTTGCCCAAACCAGGGCCTGACAGAGGCTCTTGAGGAGGGAGGGTTGTTATAGGTATCACAGACTGCGGGTCCCTCCTCCTCCCCCAAACTGCCCCTCCCCTTGGTTTTAGAGCCAGAGGAGCCCTGGTGACTATCTCCTCATCCAACCCCGTGGTACACTTGCCAGAGACATGCCATGGGGTGGCGACAGAATGGAGCTGGCACCCAGGGATCCCTGGGGTGCTGGTGTGTGTCCTTTCAGGAGGTGGTGACGTTTGGCGATGTGGCTGTGCACTTCTCTCGGGAGGAGTGGCAGTGTCTGGACCCTGGCCAGAGGGCTCTCTACAGGGAAGTGATGCTGGAGAACCACAGCAGTGTGGCTGGACTAGGTGAGGCTGCACCTTGATACCTCCCTCCCCTGCATCATCAGTCAGTACCCACCCAGCCAGGCCTCAGGCAGAGACTGGGGACATGGGGGTCAGGCCCCTGTGGGATAAATGGGCCTTGGACCTGGGAGTGTGTCAGGCTTATTCCTGGCTTTGCATGTGGCATGTGGTTCAGCCTCCATGGGGTAGGTGGAATTCTGGGAGCTAATAAAGCCTCTTTTTCCTAAGCTAGTAAATTAACTTGTGAGAAATAGAATCCAAATTTGAAATAGCTTAGATAAAAGAGAAATTATTGGCTTGGGAGAGCCATGGAAATGGTTGTACAGCCAGAGCAAGGGGTGGCAGCAATGCCCTCAGGGCTGCTGTGTGGATGCTGTCAGGGTGTCCCCTCACCCCTCCTATCCTGCCATCAGTTTTCCTCTCCCATCCTTATCACCACCACAGGCAGCTACTCCAGCACTCTTCATGTCTGACTTTGCGTTTGTGTTCTCACATGATGTGTCCTGTTGTTGGATTGGGATTTTGCGAAGGGGGTGTGTGTCTAACATGCTCCTCGCTTGTTACCAAACTCTCTCCTGGTTGACCCCATGCTGTCTCCAGCCCCACATGAGCATGGAACATTGCACATATCTCCAGCGCATGAGCATCCTGGGCCCTTGAGAGTGCCAGGGGCAGCAGTAGGGTAAGTGAGGGCATACGTAGTTGGTTGGCCCGGTGCTTATTGGGGTGCTGAACCTGGCCCTCATCTTTCTGTCCCAGCTAATCTGGCAGAGTACAGCCCTCTGATATTTTGCCAGTCAAATAAGTGTACAGTGAAAGCTGACTGTGGTCTTGAGTTGTCATTTCTCCGATGTCTGCTGAGCTCAAGCATCTTTTCACACTTCTCGTTCCTCTGCTAGGTTCTTCAATAAAGTGCTCAGAGGCTTTGCCCAATTTTTACTGGACTTGCTGTGCCTTATTGATTTGAAGGTGTTTGTTATTTCTTGTATTAGCTTTCATCAAATCTAAGATGCTATACATTGTAAAACACATCATTATTTTGTGTACTTGGCTGTATTTTAAGAAAGGTAGAATGCTGCTGATTATACAACACATTTTTTTTCTTTTTGAGACAGAGTCTCACTCTGTTGCCCTGGCTAGAGTGCTGTGGTGTCCACCTAGCTCACAGCAAACTCAAACTCCTGAGCTCAAGTGATCCTCCTGCCTCAGCCTCCTGAGTAGCTGGGACTACAGGCATGTGCCACCATGCCTGGCAAATTTTTTTCTATATATTTTTAGTTGTCCAGCTAATTTTGTTCTATTTTTTTTTAGTAGAGATGGGATCTCGCTCTTGCTCAGGCTGGTCTCGAACTCCTGAACTCAAATGGTCCTCCTGCCTTGGCCTCCCAGAGTGCTAGGATTACAGGCGTGAGCCACTGCGCCCCAGCCACATTTTTTTCTTATCATTTCAATTTATTTTATAAAG